TATAATAATTAATAAGTAGACCAAGAGAGTCAAAGAACATAGAATCAAAGAGTTAAAACAAACCTTAAAAGCTCCATAATCTTTTTCATATAATTCGGAACTGTATTCCCTAACCATACTAATGAATTAAGCTCTAATGTCCTACAGAGGGTGCCAAAAAATGTATACACATTTTAAGAAAGGAAAAAACTGTATTAAAATTATAATACTCAATATGTACTGATAACAAAAGATGAATACAAGTTATGTGTATACATTTTTTGGCACCCCTGGTATTTTTTAAATAGTACCATGTCATTTTCAGATTTCTCACAATATAAAATTTTAGGTTCTATATGTTTAGTTTTTAAATTAAAATTAACTTTGCTTTGACACATTATTAAATATTAATATACACTAGTTGGAAATCACTACCCCTGGTAAACATAATATTTACTAATTTATATTCAGAGAGGTTTTACTTATGCAAAGGGATACAGTACTATATTCTGCTATAGTATTTATATACATCGATTTCTTAAAAGTCATAAACCAACTCAATGGATGTTTTTGTTAATTGTAGGTAGTGAAATAAACTGCTTTTAGAAAATTGCCCATGAAATGATCAACCTATTATTTTGAAACTATAACAATAACAACTTTATGGGTACGTAAAATGAGAAAATGGATATTTTTTTCAGTTTTAGCATCTTTAAAAATCAAATAATCACATCTAATTTATGTTCTGAAAGTTATCTTAATGAAATCCTGAATAAAGGAAGTGACTAACAGTTATAAATAACAATATAAAATAAATGTCCAAATAAGATAATTAAGATGATACAGAATTATACCGATGAGTAAATTAATCGCTTTGAAAAATATAGTATATAGTACAGTAGGAGAGATATCCTGCCAACTATTGTCTGAACTATTTTGGTAAATCTTGGCTTCATAAAGCTCCATAATCATATCAATTTATTATGAGCAATTTTCAGTTAACAGTTTGATCACAAAGTTTCATGTTTCTTACAATCTACTTTGCCCAACTCCAAAACAGATGTTTCTACTGATTATGCACATTTAAATATTGATTTAATTTCCTAGTAAACATAGGGACTAGAATTCATATGTTCAATGATATAATAAATGCTACAGTTGGTTCTTTACGTTTCCATATAAATTTTGGAATCAGTTTGTCAATCTCTTACCAAAAAAAGAAAAAAGCCTGACTGGGACTGAATTGATCAACAACACAATAAGATCCCAGACCTCAGAGTACGGTCAATATAAATATTAATTATACTTCTATATTTGAACAACAAATGGAATATAAATTTTTTAAATGTCACTTAAAATAGCATAGGAATTAAGGATATGGAACGATTATTTGTACAAATGCAAATTAGTACATATGGTTAATTGTAGGTAGTGAAATAAACTGCTTTTAGAAAATTGCCCATTGCAAATTAGTACATAACAAATGGTTTTGAAGTTTCTTATAAATTTAACATGCACTGCTATATGACCCAGCAAACCTACTCTTAGGCATTTAACTTAATTAAGTGAAATGAAAACTTATGTTTGTATGCAAATGTTTATAGTGGCTTTATTCATAATTGCCAAAAACTGGGGGCAAAAACAGTATCTTTCAATTAATGAAAGGATAAACTGTATCACATGCCCAGCAATAAAAAGGAACAAATTCCTGATACATGTGACAACAGGTAAAAATATGAAATGCCTTATGCCAGTAAAAGAAGCCAGACTCCAAAGGGTACGGAAAGTATGATTCAATCTATATGAAAACCATGGACACAAAAAACAGATCAGTGGTTTTCAGGGATATGGGGGAGGAATTGGATAAAAACGGGCATAAGGACATTTCTCATGGTGATGCACTGGCATGGTGATTATCCAAGTGTATGTATTTGTCAAAACTCAAAACTGCATACTTAAAAGGGTGATTTTACTGTAAATAAATTATACCTCAATTTTTAAAAACAAAAAAATTGAACAAACTACAGTGGCACACAATATAAATGAATTCCAAAAAACCGTTATTTTAACAAAAGAATCAAAACATAATGCTAAGGATACATGCTTAGGTGATATAACTACAATCACCTAACAGTAAGAAAGTAAACTCCATAAAAGTTAGGATACTGGTTAACTTTGAGGGGGGGTAAAAGCGAAGAGATTGGTAAGGGGCACACAGATTGGGGGAGCTTCCAGTGTACCGGCATTGTTCTATTTCTTTTTCTGGTAGTTCCATGAATAGCTATTTTGTGATAATTCACTGTACTATCTTTTATATTTTAATCCTTTTAAAAGAAAACAAGCCAAGTAACTCAGAGTAAATTATAAAAGAATACTATAAGAATATATACAGTTTTAGAAGTGTGAGGCATTCCTAGATTCACATCTTGGCTCTATTATTTATTAAATGGGTGACTTTAGGCAAGTTTCTTAACCTTTCTCAGCCCCAGTTAACTCATCTATAAAAAAGTGGATTTTGTTCTCTTGGGCAATGCCTACACAATTTAGACTTCTACACTTTGTAACACTAAAACATGCTTATATTTTAATATCCATAAGCTGGAGGTTATTTCCCCTATACAGTATGGAAACAAAACTGTAATCTAAGTAATTGTGACACAGACTTATTACTAGATTCTAGAAAGCAGAACTCTTTCAGGAGGACTTGCTGTTTATTTGTCTGCATACTTTACAAAAGTCAACCTACGTATACTCAGATGAAGCAGTTTAGAACCAAATTGTAAGAACCAAGATTATTACAATCAGTCCTTATTTTACCTCATTTGTTCTTGCAGATAAATTAATAACACAATTAGTAAGACATATGCAGAAACAAAGTGCTGTTACTAACTATATGACTATACCTTACTCAATATCTAAGTTTCAGAAGACATATAAAAAAAATTATTTCAGGACCAGCAGAGTGGCTCAGTTGGTTAAGAGCTCGCTCAAGAGTGAGAGCTCTGAGCAACAGGGTCGCCGGTTCGATTCCCGGCCCAAGCTGAGCTGCCACTGAGCTGCCAACAGGTGGCAGGATGGCTCAGCTAAAAAAAAAGAAAAAAGGAAAAAAATTATTTCATATAGCCCTTCAGTTAATTTTATGTACTAAAGTTCTTCAACATATCTGGTTTTAGTCTAGTATACTTTAATATGCTAAATATGAAATACAGAGAGTCTGAACAAATCAGTTCTATTGTTTCCCTAATAAATGTAGGAAGTAGTATTTTTAAAAGTATATTTTAACTTCCCATTTTAATAGCAATAACTGTATTGATATTTTTAACCTAAAATTTGAAAAATTACATACACATTCTAGCCTACAATTTCCATAATAAAAGTTTTTGTAATATCTGATCTCTCATGAATATACTTTTCTCAAAACAAAATGATTGCATTCACATTTGCATATAAATAGGACCTATATATGAGATAATATTCCTAGCATCCATGTAAACATTTCTGGAGCATGTTGGGAACTTAATTCTCCAAAATTAATTGGATAGTCTATACCAGTAAACATGAAACTATCTGTAAGCAATATTCTAAATAAATTTTATTTATAAACACTAGAGGGTGCTCTAATTCAACAGGCCTGGTATCTGGCTTTGTTGCTTAAAATAATTTTCTCCTCAATTAAAGATAAATTAAGATACTTTTCAGCACCAACTATTTTTGCATCCAAAATAATACATGGAGATAATTTATGATAAATCTTTGACTATTTCAAAATTGAGAGTAATTTATATGTTGCCATTTGCCAACCCACAAAAGTTCCCTGGAGTGTGAGTTTCCAATAGATAGCATTAGACAATCACAAATAACAAAGCTTTATACCTATTAAAATATATCACCTACATATTTCAAGAAAGTGGCTACTAACTGAGACACTATTTAATCCTCAAAGTTATTTTGCCTTTAAAATTGTTTACAGAGAAAAAAATGGAACATTATAAATATTTCTTTAATTCACATACCCAAAGTCAGCCAATTTTTCTCAATCTCTCTCCACACACCCCTACACATGTGATCATGCACTCACCTTCTCTGCTCACACACACACAATCCATTCTCCAAGGAGGGACTACCTGGCTTATACTTCTCTCTCTCATTCCTTTCCCTAATGAATTACCAAGAGCTCCCAAAACATCCTGAACAGTGGCACCTGTTGATAGAGAATCACTCCAAAGTTTCCATAGTCCCAGATCAATTGTTCTAGATTAACACAACACACTACTAGGTAAAAGCCAGAGATGTAACTGAACCAGGCTCACAAACCTCCTGGACTCCAGGAACCAGAATACATGGCACTCATAGAACGAATCAGATTGCTGGAGTCAAAAATAATTCTGAACATGGAAGCATTGTGTTATAGTTCGAAGTATGCATTTGGCCCTAGTTCCCCTTTTTATGTTCATCTGCCTTGCATCTGACAGATTCCAAGGGTCCTTACTACTACACAGTAACTGCCCAGCTGCCAACTTCCCTATTCAATGTTGCATCATTTAATACCTTCTACTGCAATAGGTGACAGCATACACACTCATTAGAGTGTTAACGTTTGAAATGTTCACATACTTGCTCTTTCACGAAGGTCTTCTGAACCTTATGTACATGTCATCCCAGAAAAGTATGGCTCTGAGACAGTCAGTTAATGGGGAAAGTTTAATCCTGCTTAGCAAGTCTCAAATCTCACTACTACATTGTATTTTGGAGTTATAATCCTAATCATGATCTGAGCTGCTCAGTGATATTTACAGCTTTTACAAGTAAATCTGAAAAGCACAGGGCCTACATAAAGTGAACACTGGGTAGAAATATGTAATTTTATTTATAAACACCAACTTTCATCTTTTACCATTCTGTTACATAAAAATTTACAAACTGTGAGATTAAAATATTCTATTCAAATAATTTAATGTGAATTAGGAAAAAAAAACAAAAAAGAAAAAAAGGGAAAGAAACAAATAATTTAAGATGAATACCTGCTTTCTATGGTTCCTAAATCCGGTTGCAAACTAATAGTCTCTGTTGTAATTTCCACTTTCCGTACACTTCCAAAGAAATCAGTTATCAGGACGTTTTTAGGATCCCTCTGAAAAAGATCAGTGCGATGTCCAGGAGTAGACACACAGAGACTTTTGGGACATACCTGAAACTGAAAAGATATATATAATAATAATTACGCACATGCCTACATATACATACAACTTTTATTAAATCCAGCAACACAATATTGCAGAATCTAATGTATTTTTAAAGCACTCTCAGCCTAAAGAAGCTACAGATTCTAAAGATAAAGGACTCACTGCTATTGTAGTGCTTGACATTTTAGGACATTAGAACAGGTGATAAAAAGGGAAGTTGGCTACAGTGGGAAAAAACACTCACCTTTTTTAATCATATGCTACAAAGCATATTTGAACTCTTAAATCTACAACAACTCACATGTCAACACTATGACAAAAAAATTGCCTTTTTTCTGTATCTATATCCATCTCAGGTAGGTGTTCTTCCAGAGTGGTTTTTTAAAGTTTGTAATCATAACCCTTCATTCACACTTTAAATTCAAATAAAATATTACATGGTAGCCCAATATGTAGAAAAAATTAAAGTACAGTGGCTCTGGGTTACAGGAAGTTGAAGCATAGCTTCCCCACTAGATATCCTCTTCTGCTGTGAATCTATGTAAACCATTCTGTATATCAAATAACTTTCTTCATTTATCCATGATGAAAACAAACCCAAGGCACCTCCAGACACCAGTGTTCCAAACAATACAGTCTGAAAACATGACTTCATCACTCATGACTTTATATATGGATCTCACAATAATTTCTAAGTTAATCTTACCCCTGATACTCCACATTGGCGAATTACCAAACAAAGACACAAATTCATTCACTCAGAAATCAGAAAAAGTACCTATTACATATACTTCATACTGTTAACTTCCACTTAAGATACAAAAATTGATAAGAAATGGTCCTGTCTAGTTAACAAGGTAGAAAAAAAGGTGACAAGTTCTAATTCAGAAAATGATAAACTTCTTATAGTTTGAGGATAAGAAAAAAAGAGGGCGTGGGATTTAAGCTACTTTCTGAAGGAAAAGGAAGATTACAGATGGGAAATAAGCACATTCCCCATAAAGGAACAGCTGCAGAGATGCGGAAGGCAGTAACTTCATTTGGCAGAAGCACAGCATATATGAAGAAAACAATAACAGGCCTGTGAGTGAGGGCCCAGGGTCCACAGCACTAGCCCAGCTGCGGAGACAAGGCCATCTGAACAGGCAATCATGAACATGACAAGAGAAGGCTGGGGAAGGACAGAGCAGCTCTAATTTATGAAACACAGCGTTCCAAGCACTGTGCTAAGCAATTTGTAGATATTCTCATTTAAGCTTACCAATAACTTTGAGGTTTATAAAAATCATTACCTCTACTTCAAACTAAAGCTCAAAGAGATTAACTCATTTGCCTGACATCACACTAGTGGCCTTCCTGGTTCAGGAAAGCAATAAAAGGAAATACAAAGAAGAGATAAGAATATAAATTAAGAAGGAAAAAAGGGTGGGGAGAGATCAAGAAAGTAAAATACCAAACGGGAAGGACAAAACAGATGGAAGGCTGAAGAAACAAAGTAAAAGTAAAAATGAACACATATAAGATTAAAGTCCTAGCTAGGTATACTGAAGGCATTTCTGTATGAGCAACTCAGTGGGCTCTATTAAGTACCAGCAGAAGCATGCAGATAAGTGTATCACACGCAATGTGATATACAGATGATGTATTACAGAATTGTACACCTGAAACCTATGTAACTACTAACCATTGTCACCCCAATAAACTTTAATTTTAAAAAAAAATACAAAAAATGGGGATTCTTACCAGAAATGAAAAAAAAAAAAAAAGATAAGCATAGTCAAATGAGCTATGGAAAGACTGAATACGTATTATCTCCTTCTTTGATACTAAAATAATCATACTTTCATTTTCTATGAAATCATTCCTTCCTTCAAAAATGTTTACCATATCAATCTCATCTCCTTAGCCTCAGCAACATAATGACCCACAGATCTTGCAATTACTCAACTTAATTTTCAATAATCTCCTGTATTTACAGAATCTCCACACACAAACTAGGTTATATGTTTATCATCAAAGACGAGATCATCTAGTATTGCAATTTCTGTGCCTCGGCAGGTATTCCATTTTCCTAGAGTATGCTCAACTTCTCTCCTTTCAAACCTGAAAATCCACCTCTTCCAAAAAAAAAAATTTTCAATCACTAATTCCACTGTATTTAAAGGAACCATATAAACGTGCATTGTTATCATGTCCTTCATTCATTCAGTAAATATTCACTGAGCACCTACAATTACTATATATACTAATTGTATAGTAAAACAAGTTACTATATATAATTAAGTTCTGTGGGTAGTGAGCTGCATAAAGCATGGTGCTTATACCTCTTATTTAAGAAGCTCAAGGCCTCGAGGGAACATCACAAATACAAAAAATTACAGAGCAATATTAAAAGCATAATAAAGGTATGAAGCAAGAGTTATATGTTCAGAGAGGAATGAACATTACCTGAAGGATCCAGAGACTTCATATAACAGGTGATACTCTAGAACTGTGCTCTTCAATTGTTACCAATGACAGTATAAATTTTTAAGGGGCTAAACACCAACTCTTCTAATTTTTCTGCTCCTGAAGCACCTAATATTGTACTCTGAATACATCTGATACACAGCAAATTTTACTATGTACACATAATCCAACACAAACAGGTATCATTATACAATATCTAAAGATATGTCAAATCACTACTATTTAACTTCAAGGAAATAGATTATTCTTACTGAACAAGATTTAAAAAATCATCATTCAATTAAAGTTCAATTTAAAAAATGGAGGTGGGCAGGCCAGATGAGACTTTTAGTGAGGAATGTTTATTAAAAACTAAATATTACCCAGCAATAAAAAATAATGAAATCTTGCCATTTGCAACAACATGGATGGACCTAGAGGGTATTATGCTAAGTGAAATAAGTCAGACAGAGAAAAGACAAATACTGTATGGTTCATTTCTATGTAGAGTCTTTAAAAACAAAACAGATGATGGCTAGCTGAGTGGTGGTTGGTTAAGAGTTGGCTTGGGACACCAGCTCTGAGCAGCAGGGCCCCGGTTCGGATCCCTCATGTGGGCCAGTGACGCTGCGCCCTCTACAGCTAAGATGGTGAACAACAGCTCAACCTGGAGCTATGAGTCGCCGGCTATGGTGTAGGCTGCAGTGGGGCTGGCCGGCAGCCGGCGTGAGCTGCTGTGAGCCACCATGAGCGGCTGTCCAGTGGCCGGCAACCAATCTGTCTCACCCGGGAAGAGCGCAATGATAATACCAACATGGGCCAGTGAAGCGATGTCCTCCACAACTAGACTGAAGAACAAAAGGACAGCAACTTGTCTGTTCCCCTCCTCCAACTCCCCAGCACTGTTCCCCTCCCCCAACTCCCCAATAAAATCTTTGAAAAAAACAAACAAACAAAATAAGCAAAGACTCATAGAAATAGAGACCAAAGGGATGGTTGCCAGAGGGGAAGGGGATGGGAGGATAGGTAAAACAAGTAAAGGGGAATACAGTCAATAACAATGTGATAAAATTGCACAGTGACAGATGATTAAGAGAATTAGGCTAACCACATTGTAAGGTATAAAAATGTCCAATCACTATATTGTAAACCTGAAACTAATATAACATTGTATACCAACTATATTTAAAGAAACTAAATTGTAAGCAATAAAAAAAAATTAGTTTCTTCAGTCTTTTCTATATCATTTCATGGAAGAAGCATTTTTTTAATCCATTAGACATTTAAAGTGTGAAGTGCATTTATTGTGAAATTTTGAAACAGCATGTTATGCATTACATAAAATATACATTGTATAATCTAAAAATGGGAATAAACTTTAAAAGTAAAGTAACGAACTTAGGTGGCTATAATTTTCTTATAGTTAAAGTAGCATTGTCAAAAATTTTGTTGTTATTGGGGAATTGGGGGAGGGGAACAGTGTTGGGAAATCGGGGAAGAGAAACAGACAAGTTGTCTTTTTATTCTTCAGTCTAGTTGTGGAGGATGTTGTTTCACTGGCCCATGTTGGTATTATCATTGCGCTCTTCCCGGGTGAGGCAGTCGCTCACCGGCCATTGGATGGCCGCTCACAGCGGCTCACAGCAGCTCTGAAAAGTTCACGCCAGCTGCCAGTCAGCCCCAGTGCAGCCTACGCCATCGGGTGACTCATGGCAGCCCTGCTCCAGGTTGAGCTGTTGTTCACCATCTTAGCTGTAGAGGGCGTAGCGTCACTGACCCTCATGTGGGATTCAAACCGGGGCCCTGCTGCTCAGAGCTGGCATCCCAAGCCAACTCTTAACCAACTTGCCACTCGGCTGACCCAAAAGTTTTGTTTTAATATTCAAATTCATATTAAGATTTAACATGCATAAAAATAAACAACATTAAAAATGTAATTAGTAAGTAGTTGTATTTTATCAAATTTGATAAATTTTTAAACTCACCAACCAGTTTATAGCAGTGGGTTTCAGAATTTTAATGTAGAATCCCTTTAATAAATATAAATGGATCTACAAGGTTTCTATATAATAAAAGAGATCAGCGCAAAGCTGCTTGGCTGAAGTGCTAGAGTCCACAGACCTGTCCACTTAGCACCCCGGCCTTCATTCTAAAGTCCCATGGTGGCAGGGACAGTGTCTTTCACTAGGGTATAGCCAGTGTCTGACACTTAGCAATAACTCAAGAAATATTTAGGAATGAATGCACAAGGTATAAACGAATGGATAAAAAAGTCATTGATGTGGGCCAGCCGAGTGGCACGATGGTTAAGAACTGGCTTGGGACGCCGGAGGCCCCGGTTCGGATCCCACATATGAGGGCCAGTGACACCGCCCTCTACAGCTAAGATGCTGAACAACAGCTCAAACTGGAGCTGGGCTGTGTGAGTCGCTGGCGACGGCATAGGCTGCAGCCCCTGTGGCAGTGGGTAGCCATGGGCTACCGTGTGTAGCCAGCAGCCAGAGTGAGCAGCCAGCAGCTGCAGTGAGCGGCCGTCCAGAAGTCGGCGACTGATCTGCCTCGCCCGGGAAGAGCGCAATGATGGTGCCAACTTGGGCCAGTGAAGCAACGTCCTCCACAACTAGACTGAAGAACAAAACGACAACAACATCTTGTCTGTTCCCCTTTCCCCAATTCCCCAGCGCTGTTCCCATCCCCCCAATTCCCCAATAAAAATCTTAAAAAAAAAAGAAGTCATTGATGCACAATAATTATCCAATCTAGAATTGTTGCTTCAAGCTTTTTATTATGCCTACTTTCAATAACAACTTCAAAGTAAATTTATTTAAAAAGATACAATCAGTGAAGAAAAGTCAGGAAAAAAATGTTGAGTTAAATTCAACAAGCAGTGGCAGAACACAGCATTGGAAGTTGTATGGTACCCAAAAATATATGTAAGAGACGGTCTTTCTCCTCAAGAACACCCCGTTAAGTAAGAAAGACACTCAATTAGTAAGTTTAAAAAAAAAAGAAAAAAGACTACGATAAATGGTACAAGAGAGAAATAAAGCTCTGAAGAGTAAATTCTAACAGGAAAGAATTTGGGAAGACTTCCTGGAGGAGGCAGGATCTGATTTGATTCCTGAAGAATAGGTAGAAATTCAATATGTGAATCTAAAAAAAACTACATTTCCAGTAGGGATAAGAACAGAACAAATGAATGAAAATAGAAAAGTACCTCAAGGAACAGCAAGTTAACTGGGCTAAAGCTTAGGCCTCTTGTAGTAAAGAATGAGTTACCATTGTAAAGGGAGATTTGAAACAGTTTTAAAAGGCCAGCATTCAACTTAAAGTACCCTAGCAGTACAGGGAATAATAGACTTCATTTATCATGTTAAGGTTAGCATACCTATGTGCTATAATCAAATCAAGCATGTACTTACAAGGTCATTCATATTAGTTTGACTAGCTGGATTAATTTCTTCCAAAAATTCCAAGACATAAAATGTGTATCTATCCATAAGGTGAACTCCAATTGCAGGATCAGGTTGATGCTATGAAAAAGCAAAGTGTATACAATGGTATATTATTCAGCCATAAAAAGAATGAAATCTTGCCATTTGGACATTGTGGGGATTATGCTAAGTGAAATAAGTCAAACACAGAAGACAAATATTGTATGATCTCACTTATATGTGGAATCAAAAAACAAAAACAAACAAACAAAACCAAGGCTGTAGATACAGTGAATATATTGGTGATTGATAGAGGTAGGGGTGGGGCAAATGGGTGAAGGAGGTCAAAAGGTATAAACTTCCAGTTATAAAATAAATAAGTCATGGGGATCTAATGTACAGCATAACAAGAACAGTTGATAATACTGCACTGCATATTTAAAAGTTGCTGAAAGAGTAGATCTTAAGTGTTCACCACAAAAAATAAAATTCTGTAACTATGTATGGTGACAGATATTAGCTAGACTTAATGTAGTGATCATTTCACAATATATACAATATCAAATCATTATGTTATATACCTGAAACCAATCTAATATTGTATGTCAATTGTATCTCAATTATTTTTTTTAAAAAGCAAAGCAAAAATAGCATCATTATAACAAATGTTTTAAATGTAATCAAAATTTCCTTATAAGGTGTTAAGAAGTCTAAGAGTACAAAAGTCTAACAGATGTACCCATACAGCATATAAACGATTTGAGAAATAGCCACACATTCCAAAGACAATGCAGTTTACAAATGGGAAAAATGAACGTACCGAGAGTGAATCTTCTCCCACTTGGCTACTGGCTAACGCCATTATGTTGGGGGAATAAAATCGCTCATACATGGATGCTCCTTGACAAGTATCAATAATAAACAGTAGCTCATTGTAGCTGAAAGAAAAGTGGTAATATCTTTGACATGAATCATGCTGTGAATCATACATATATTGACTAATATTTTTTACAATACTTCCATGACATACAATGTTGAAGTCATATCTTAATGACTTCATTAGTTAAAAATTTGAGGCTTTCCAGTAGAATTCTCAATACAAATTTGACATTACAAATATTAAAGGTATAATCCTGTCCTAGAAAACTACGTCAACAGGGAATGGTGGTTATGCCACAAAGTGGCTGCCCCAACTCTTTCCTGCTCCCTTATCTAAGCCACATGATTCCAAATACACATGAATACTGAATTCAACAAACACAAATTGGTACTCACACTGTCCTAGAAACTGAGGTACATTCAGAAAAAAATTAAAGTTAAAAAAAAATACACACACACACACACACACACACACACGCACACATATATATATGACTTAGTCACCATACCCAAAGAACTTAACAACTAACTGCAAGACAGACACATAAACTGTGTGTTAAGTGTTACAAATATTATTGAGTCCCTACACTGCTCCTGACACTAAGCTGGGAATACAGCAGTCTCTGCCTTCATAGAGCTTAGAGTGTAGCAAAGTCAAAGTGCTCTAAAAGCCCTGAGAAAGGAACAAAGAGAACTGTACAGAAAGGCAGGTCAGGGAAAGGTGACGTCTAACATGGGCAACGAAGGGTGAGTGTTATTTTATCTATCAAAGAAAGGAATAGCGCATTCCAGCAAAGAAAAAAGCCTGTACTAACACACCTAAATGTGAATATGTAAAAATGTTTGGGGAAAGGGGAATAGCACTGAGTAGCTAGGATTTAGAGCAATTTGGGGGAAATGGAGGGAAATTAGCTTCAAAAAGGTAAAGTATCCCATAATAAAGTCTGGATCTTATCCTAGAAGTTTGAAGAAGACACCAAAGGCTTTTTATAATAACATAACAAGCTCTATGCTTTAGAATGAGCTTCCTAGCTGGTAAAAGTAAAGTAGGGAGCAGATAAGCTTCCTCAGGGGTTTCTCTCAAACACTGGATCTAGGTAAATAGCTAACACTGCACCTAGCAAAGGAAGCATGCAATCTTGAACCACAATATCTAGGCAGGTGATAAAAGGAACAATTAACATGACACATTTGTTCTGAGAGAAAAAACTGTGGATGCGCATGAGGATCAGAAACATCTAAGTTTATGAGAGGCAGTACAATCAAACAATGAAGAAAGTAAGCTCTGGGATGGAACCACTTGGGTGTGAATCCTGGTGCTGGCACTTTCTAGCTGTACAAAGGTTGGCAAGTTACTTAATCTGTTTACCTCAATTTTCTCATTTGTAAAAATGGAAATAACAAAAGTACCTACCTCATGAAGTTATTAAAATTAAATGAGACAATACATGGAAAGCACAGTGCTCAGCACCTACTATGTATTCAATAAATGTAAGCTATAAATAACATAAAACTAGTACCTAGCAAAATCATGCTCAACACTTCCATACTTTCTGCTTATAATTCAGGATTTATAATGTTTAATTTGTAGCATAGTTGTGTACATATTTCTCTTTTCCACTATATTTTAAACCCTCTGAAGCAGAATACACATCATATTCCCCTCTGTGCCATATGTTTAGGAGGTAACAATAGGTGTTTATTGAAAGTAATCAAGTAAAAAGCAATTCTACTGCTATTTAAAATTCTTTTAAGTTTATGACAACTTACAACTAAAGGGGTGTTTACCATTGGATTACTAATAACGTATCATCTTTAATGTGAGCTAAGTTACAAATGTTATACTAATTATAATTTCGACATTTTTTTCCAAAGAATAAATAATGTATTTATTGCTATCACATGGAGGGCCACAGAAGATGCAAAAAGTAAGAACAGGTACAAGCTGAAAAATAAATATATGTTTACAATCCCCCTAAATAATGGGGAACTTGGTTAATGAGACTCTTATTCCTCCAAAAAGGACACTAAATAACAAGAGGTATGATCCTAAAAGATTAACTTTTTTCATGCTCTTTAAAACCCTGAGTTTTTCTTTTAAAAATCACTCCATTCAGTAGAAATAACAAACATAAATCTAAAAGGGTGAAGTGATTCAAATAAGTTAAAATCCCATAAAATAAAATCTACAAATATACTAACCATGGAAAAATTAGGTACTAATTTATCTTATGAAAAGTAGTCATTGCTAATTACCGTCTTTTCTGCCACATTTGTTCAAAAGCATCTGCAAGTTCTATGTTGGTAATTTCTTCAGAATCTTGAAATTTCAAGAAACCATTTCCACCATGTCCTTGCAGGAAGAGTCAAAAAGATCAGACACATTTTTTAATGCAAATGGCATATATCCAGATATATTTACTTCATTCATGGCATTTTTTAATATCATATGTTAGTTTATACTCTGAAGTAAAAAATACTGTGGAAACAAATTTAATTTCCTATTATGCCAATTAGGAAGAGAATGAAGGATAGGCTGTATAAAAAATAGTAGATATAATATCTTTAAGGCTTTTTCTATCATTCAATTCTAGAAAAACACATTTATTCACTGGCTCCATTATGTCAGAAATGAGTTTCCATAGATAAAGATTTCTCAAAAACCACGCAAACCTTTTAGGTGAGAAAGGATTTGAAGACACTGGCTAGTCCCATGATATGCTAGTGCTAGTCACAGTGCATATTTGGAATGCTATACTACTAGGAGGTGCATTTCTCACTTTAAAACTAATGTTTTGGGCTGGCCGAGTGGCTCAGTTGGTTAAGAGTTGGCTTAAGAGCACGGGCTCTGAGCAACAGGGCTGCCGGTTCAATTCCCACATGGGCCAGTGACGCTGCGCCCAAGCTGAGCTGTCGCTGAGCTGCTAACAGGTGGCAGGATGGTTCAGCTGGTGTAACAAGACTGCCTGCTCAATGGTGGGTTGTGCCCACCTGCAACTAAGACTGAACTCAGCACCTTGAGCTAAGATGCCGCCTGGATGGCTCAGTGGATAGAGCGTGCGCTCTTAACAACAAGGCTGCTGGTTCGACTCCCACATGGGACGGTGGCTACATCCACCTGCAACTAAGATTGAACACAGAACCTTGAGCTTAGAGGCCACGAGCTGCCGACAGGAAGCCAGATGGCGACTGGTGCCCTCCACAACGAAGATTGAAGAACAACTTAGCTGGTCCCCTTCCCCAATTCCCCAACACTGTTCCCCTCCCTAATTCCCCAATAAAATCTTTAAAAAAAAACTAATGTTTTTACTACCATCAAAACCATCCCAGAAGAGTTGACTAGAAAATTGTGACATTTAGAATTCAAATAGAGCCAGTCTATATGGATTCAAACGTTAGCTTTTCGACTTAATGACTGATATCATAAACAAATTACTTAATCTTTCTGTGTCTCAGTTTCTTCAGCTATCAAGTGAGAAATGTGTCAGCAAGACCAGCATTCGCAAACTTATGTATTAATAGTGCAGATTTTCAAAGGTTCTGCCCACTGGTCAGCACAGTAGAAAAATCTGTCTATTTCAGTGCCCACTCTTAAATAGATGCAATCCTATGGGCTCAAAAATGGTTAGTGGCTATGTCTTTGTGAAGAAAACAAAATACTTCTCCCTCTCAGTAGACAACGCTATGGCAGGTCACAGCCTGGTAAGTTAGTGTACACGTATACTAGATTTCCGCTCCCTCCCACTCATCTCCCTACTCATGCACTTACGTGCAGTGCACAAACCACACAACCGTATATGGCAACTGTGAATATCAGCACCTAAATCTTCGGGTTGCTATGAGGATGAAATGAATTACACACAACAATTTAGAATATTGCTAAATATTACTAAATATGTATAGTAAGCCTCAATATTAGCTATTATCATTTTTATTGTCATAATATAATTATAGCCCTCCTATTCTCTTCTCTGGGTTGGCAAACTTTTTCTGTAAAGGGCCAGGCAGTAAATGTTTTAGGCATGTGGACTATATAGTCTCTGTAGAAGCTACTGGACCTTGCTGTTGTAGTATAAAAGCAGCCATAGACAATATGTAAAATAAGTGGACACAAGTATGTTCTAATAATACTTTATTTCCAAAACAAGCAGCCCTTCAATGGACCATAGTTTATTAAATCCTATATTAGACTACCGGAATTTCTTCCATATCAATCAAATCAGAAAAAAAAATGTTATAAAACCTCTAGTTTAGTACATCAAATGAAGCTAAGCTACAAGACTACACTTCATTCTATTGGCCAAAAAAAACTGAAAAGTTCTTGTAACTGTCAAATAAACTAAAATGAAAATTTTCTTGACTTAATTAACTCTGCTAAATTAATTTATAAAGTTTATAAATTGACTGAATTTTAGAAGCTATAAATAAATGCAACATGATAAATAAAAGTAAACCACTAAGTAGGGGTCAGTAACTGTCCTGCTGTGTGACATCTAAGAATCATTCTGCACCTGTTTTATCATCAGTTGAATGGAATGTCCCCTGAAAAATATTTTAAGTGTCATTTGATCAACATTCATATTTACTGAATACTACTATAAAACAGGGCACTGGTGATAAAAAGATGAAAAACACATTATCAATGACATCTTGGAGAACAAAAATCTAATGTAGTCAATTAATACCAGACAAAAAATAATAAGTTAAATGCTAAGATAGAATCTACAGATTAATATGAGAGTGTAAAGAGGAGAGCTTACACCAGCCAAGGAGGTGAGAAATGCCATAGGGCAATAAGAAAATGTATTATACATACAAGGACACTTCTGAGGGAAAAAGGAGGCGCTATTAGTAATTCTACTGGGACAACAAGGGTAAATTGGCAATTGGAAACAGAGGTCGCCCTAGACTTAGAAAGGAAAATCACTGAAGGAAGGGACTGTTGAGCTAACACTTAATAGATAAGGAATAATCAGGTAGGAAAGGAACTGAGAAGACATCAATAAGCAAAGGTAATAGTTTAAGCAAATGTATAGAGGACAGAGAAAGTCAAACGCATAGAAGGGAATTAGAAAATGTGTAAGAACTAAAATTAAATAGCAATAGTATAACTAAATATACATATTACATATACTGTAACTAAAGAAATAATATAACTATATTATGGAGGACTTGATCTCCAATGGTCCTCAAAGTATAGACAAAAGACTACTGCAGCTCATATCTTGGGAGTATATTTAAAGTGCAGTTTCATGAGCCCCACACCAGACCAAAACTAAATCAGAATTTTATTGATAGATACCGGCCTTCGTATCTGCATTCAGGTAAGCCTTCCGCATACTAAAGTCTGAGACTCCATCAGTGGGAAACCACTGTAAAGTTTTAAGCAGAGGAGGCACAGATTTGCAATTTCTGTCAAATACCTTAGTAGGATGATTGACAGGAGACAAAACTGAAGGCAAGACGCTATAACAGGATACTAAGTAAAAGGTGGTATGCTTTACCAGGTAATAAAAAAAGTAGATAAGAAACTAGGGACAGCACCAAATGTTATATGGTTTTCAAATATCATTTTAAGTTGTTATATTTATGAGAAAAGAGAACTATATAACAAATAAACTACTTTAACCAAAAATCATTGAAGGTGTTTAAAATTCTTTCCATGTGGATTTCTTTTTGAAAAGAGTAACAATATATTCTATTATTAAATAGTTAAACTCTGAAGTTACCTGTCATATAAATAAGAATATTGCTCCTATCATCAGAAAGAAGACGTTTTGACCGAGGAGTACTGGGTGGGATCCTCCCAGTTAATACCCGTAAAAAATTCTCCACAGTTACCTGAAAACAAAGGGGGAGAAAGAGAGAGAGAGAGAAGAAAAATCAGCTAACACAGAACTTGGGAAAACCTGATTATTATTATTTTTTTTTACTTTTAAAAACATTCCATTTTCTTTCTGTATGTATTAACCAGTCTAAATTGAAAATAAAACATAAGGAGAAGTATAACTCAAAATATATTAAAATATATACTTCAAAGTAACTTTGCTTACAGTTTAAAAAAAATAATAAAAACTAACAAATAAGGAGAAAAAAAAGTTAATTCTAAATTTAAAACTTGAAATACCATGCAAAGTATTGCCAAAAACTTAAAAATTATAAATCTGTCTTCGCAGGCAATTCTTTAGGAAGATAAAAAAAAATACATAAGTAAAAACTTGTTAATCAATTTAGTACATACCTATTGCAGTTAATTTGTGCAACTACTTAGTCAATTCTAGATTATCCATGAAAGATAGGTTCATAATAAATCATAAAAATAAAACCATAAGGATAGGGCCATAAATAATGCCCAAATTATGTATCCTTGATTTTTTTTTAATGCATTTTGTTACTTAAATTTCACCAGGGGTATCTTTAACATTCAAAAAATTCCTAACACTTTAAACCATATTTCCCAACCTGGAATTTCTGGACCTCTGGGATTCTTTGAAAGTATATTCAAAGTCACAGAGAGTATAATGCTAATTTAAAGTTATATATATAGATCTACATTTAAAACGCAGAAAATCTCTCTAGCTTTCTTGTTGGGCTTTTCTCTAGATCGTGGGTATGTAAATGTATACCGTTATGTGTGTATGTATATAAGCCGTTTGGTTTGCATTTTTCCCAGAAGACAGAAAAATGGTAAGTGTTTTAATAAGACTTCATGTTATCTAACAAGGAAGGAAAATTTTTGGTCTACATTTTTTTTTAATTTTTTAAAAAAAAAATTTTATTGGGGAATTGGGAAAGGAAGCAGTAATGGGAAATCGGGGATGGGGAACATACAAGTTGCTGTCCTTTTGCTCTTCAGTCTAATTGTGGAGGACATGGCTTCACTGGACCATGTTGGTATTGTGATCACTGCGCTCTTCCTGGCTGAGGCAGATTGGTTGCAGGCCATTGGACAGTCGCTCACAGTGGCTCATGGCAGCTCACGCCGGCTGCCAGCCACTCACGGCAGCTTATGGCAGCCCACTGCAGCCCCTCTGCAGCCTACGTTGTCGCCAGCGACTCACGGCAGCCCAGCTCCAGGTCGAGCTGTTGTTCAGCATCTTAGCCACAGAGGGTGCAGCGTCACTGGCCCATGTGGGATCCAAATCGGCGGCCCTGCTGCTCAGAGCTCACACCCCCAAGCCAACTCTTAACTAACGAGCCACTCGGTCGGACCTTGGTCTACATTTTATGACTAAATAAACAAATATAAAGTCCAACATATTTAATCACTGAACAAACATTTTTTAATGCCTTCAAAGGACTATAAGTACTTGCTAGATATAAGATACATAAGATATAGGCCATGTCCTCAAGGACCTTACAGCCTGGGAGGAGATAGATATGCTTTTAAAATTGCTTCTAAACAAGTCTGGGAACACAGGAAATTGTGTCTTACTTTTCGTAGGCTGGGTAAAAGGAGAAGGATTATCAAGGGAGACTTCATCAAGGAAGGCTTCAAATTTTAAACATATCCAAAATCTACTAAACTTTAAAAATGAAGTTTCAAAGGAAGAAAATACAGTATAATGCTATTTTTCAAATTTACTTTTTTAATTTTTAATCATATATACATAAAAACACTAGAAGCCTATTAAAAGAAGTTAGCTCTAAGTATTGGAAATATGGCTGAGTTTTTTTGTTAGTCATTTTAATTTTTCCACAATTAATATATTTACTAAAACTGTGAAATTTGAAATTTTAGATCAAATACTATTTACTGTAAAAGAAAGCTGATACATGAAACCTCACTGAAATACTCCTATAAAAACCAAGATAAAATTATCTTATCCTAGATGTGCATATATATATATATATATAAAATGTTCATGTTGCAATAGTTTTACTTACACATTGTTTCTTTACTATGAACTCCACAGACAGACTTATATCAAAACTTCTATAACAATCATGTACAAAGTTTAAAGACAAAGAATAAGATTATTTTATTCTACCACTATATTAAAGCTTAAAAGTAACCACTTGAAAAGTAACATTTCAAAAGTGTTGCTAAATTAAACCATTACCTCATAACTTCTATAATCTACTTCCACATCATCTCCATAGACATTTAGTTCCATATTCTTGTGACTAAACACCGTAGCTGGTTTGGGATTCCTAGGGTTGCATGCCATATCATCTGCAAGCATCAGAACAATGTGACTAAAAAGAAAAAATTCCAGAAAATATATTACTTAAATAAAACCAAAAATTAAAAACAAATAAATCGTATTTATATCATGTAGCAATTATATTCTAATTATAATTAAAAATAGAGTACATAGTTAAAAGAACTTTATTTTTTCATATCCTTATGTAGTATAAGTTTCAAAGTAGAAAAATTAGAGCAATCTGGCATGAATTTATCTGCAGAACTTGAGGGTACTAACTTAAATTTTTTTTTCCCAAAGGAGTATACATTATGCTACATAGCAAAAGAAAGCTGAAGGGGCTACACTGTACTCCACAAACATTTTGTTAAATTAGTGGCATTTGACATTATCAGGACTTAACAGTCCACATGAAACCATATTCCAAAGGATTTAACTTTCAGAATCACAAATGCTTAAGTATGAAAACATGCACTCTATCAGCAAGTGCAATCAGTGTACCACATGAACACATCTCCAGCCCAATCACTCTTCAGGGGCTCCACTCTGTCTCCCTAAGACCAGCCACCATCCTGACTTGACTCAATGCCAGAATGGCTCCCTTCCTGGCTTCCTGCTTCCGTTCTCATCTTTTTACAGTTCATTTTCCTTAGTCACCAGGGTGATCTTCCTCACATAAGTCAAATCATTAAACTTTCTCACTTAAAACCTTCAAGGACTCCCCCATTATAATTAGAGGAAAATCTAAACTCCTTACATGGTCTAAAAAGCTCAATTAATGTGGTCTCTATCTCTGACGTTAGCCTCTACCACCCACATTCACTATGTTCCTTCCACACTGGTCTTCCTTCGGTTCTAAGAATATGTCAAGCCTTTCTCACTTCAGGGCGGCTGACCAAATTAAGACTTCTCTCCTTCTAAATCTTATAATTCCCATCTCAGCTAAGGTACTCTACTCTCATTAGGAGTTTTATTGTCTATAGGTCATTAATGAATCTGAAATCCCCATCATCTCCCACCACCAGCCCCATTAGAATACAAGCTCTCTGAGTGCCAGGGCTTTATCTGTCCCATTCACCAGTGTAATACTCAGGCTTAGTACTAGAGCCTGGCATATCGTAGTCATTCAATAAATATTTGTTGAGTGAATGAAACATTTTCATTTTTACATATATTTTCTTTGAAACAAAATTTCACTTAAATACTTCTCATCTTGATCTTACCATTAAAACTTAAGTATGAAAACATGCTGAACATGAATCAGGCTATTCTTTATTCTACCATATACTTGAGCTTCCCAAACATAAGGGAGAAATTAATGTGGCATATGTAATTAGTTTGGCAGGAAATAGCAAGAAGAAAATGTTCTGCTGCATATGTTCCAAATGCATTAAAGTTCAAAATTGAAACATTGTGATTTTTCTTGAAAATTGGCTAGATTTCTATTTTGAAAGGGTTCCAACCCTGCCACATTCAAAGATCAGATTTTCAGCTGTTACTGATTCATACTCACAGAATGGTGGAAGTTATTCCTCTTAAAATGGTAAATATATCTTCTCTTTTTAATAACTTAGGATGATTAACTCCCAGTACGTTATTATTAATCATATTTTTTTTTCTGTTATAAACCAATATTGAAGTGGCCTCCCAATTGAAATATAAAAATAAAGGTATTCCTTTAGGCCATGCTTTGGGTTAAGGTTACGTGTACTCTATGAAATTAAATTCAATATCTACCCAATGTCAGTATCATAAAGTAGTGATTTCAGCTTAAAATTATAAATTGAATTAACATTTTTCCTACAGATAATTTTTTAAATTTCTTTTTCTTTTTCTTTTTTTTTTTTTTTAAAGATTTTTATTGGGGAATTGGGGGATGGGAACAGCGCTGGGGAATTGGGGGAAGGGGAACAGACAAGTTGCTGTTGTTTTGCTCTTCAGTCTAGTTGTGAAGGACGTTGCTTCACTGGCCCAAGTTGGCACCATCATTGCACTCTTCCCAGGCGAGGCAGATCAGTCACCGGCTTCTGGACAGCTGCTCACTGCGGCTGCTGGCTGCTCACGCTGACTGCTGGCTACACACAATAGCCCATGGCAACCCACTGCCACAGGGGCTGCAGCCTATGCCGGCGACTCATAGCAGCCCAGATCCAGGTTGAGCTGTTGTTCAGCATCTTAGCTGTGGAGGGCAGTGTCACTGGCCCTCATCTGTGGGATCTGAACCAGGGCCCCCTGGCATCCCAAGCCAGTTCTTAACCATTGCGCCACTTGGCCGGTCCCTAAATTTATTTTTCAATTATAGTTGACATACAATATTATATTAGTTTCAGGTTTTCCTACAGACCATTTTGAGCCTCAATATAAGTACTATAATCCTGTTAATATAATCTATATATCATTAAAAAAACAGGACAAGAAACAGGCTGGATTTCAAAGGTTTAGAAGTCCAACCACATATTCTGATTCATTGTTTCAAAAACTTAAAAAATGTTCAGAACTATTTTCTGGAGAAAAAAAATTTTCTCATTTGGTCCAAGTGTTAAATTATTCATATAATGATATTTAAATGTATACACAATAGTAAACTCCTTAGGCTTGCTTATAGTTCTTATAAAACCATAAATAAATATAAAATTATGAATTAAAGTCTAACAAAACTACCAAACTAATAATAATACTCTAAAAACATTCATTCCATTTGAAGGATAATGTTATTTTGCTAAAATTAAATGACTACTGTGGTACTGAACAGGAGAAAGAAAGAACGTCAGGCCTGGTTATACATGTCATTTTTTTCTGTATTTTAACATTCACACTACAATATAATTCGATGATATGGAGAGTCTGTTCACAAAAATATGTTGTAAAAAATGCAATTCATAACTTTCAGGCTCTGTTTACTATTCAGAATAATCAGATCTTATATTTAACTAAGTCTTTGTCAATACACATTCTTTGAACACCAGTTATGATGTGATCTAACTTGTTGACTCCTTGAAGTGTTTTTTTCACTTAAATATCAGGTTAGTGTCACAGCAATTATTTACATCTTTACTGAACGGGTATCAAATCACTTCCGGAATTAAGACCAGAACAATCTACAATGAAGACATACTTGTACATCCCTATAAATAATGATAGGAACTTGCTTTGTATCTTATTAAAATTAAGACAAAATCCCTCAAATATATCCAATCGATATAAGAATTAGATACTCTTACAGTTTGGCAAGCCTATACTGCCATGTGTGATGACTCAACTTTCACACTTTATTCAAGCCCTTGCAAAACCTACAACAAAGCACATGGTAATATGGCCTTCTCTTAATATAAAACCAAAAGAAAAGTGAGCACTGAATTTGTATGAAGTTCAAACTGGGTTTGAATCCAAATAATACCATGCTTATTTACATAAGTAGTTTTCACATTTTTTAGTTTTCCCATTTTTAAAATCATGCACTCCACTAAAAAAAAAAAAAAGTGAGGGCAACCCATATATAGCTACTAATTTCTAAGTCATATGTATTTGCTAATTTAAATATATATAATAAATACTAGTGGAGCATAACTTCTTTTAGATAAAAAAACAAACATAAAGAAACTATTAATATTTCCTTCCCTTACTACTCTTTAGTATCTGAGCTGAACAGAATACCTTGATCATGCTTATATAATTTTAAAGATCATAAATATAAAAATGTAAATTTAAAACTTGTCAAAAAAAGAACATACATGGGGGAGACAATGGCCTACAATAAATACTTGCCCATTGTCATGTTTGCCAAACTTTGAAAGAATAGGTAAGCCCTGCTTCAGAAGTGTTAGGCCTCTTTACCCACCTCCCTGAAATTCTTCCTCGGCCCAGTCAGGAACTAGTAACCAAGGGTTACAAAAATAAACAAATAGATGAATAATCTTTTACCACCATAGACTTTTAGAGTGTGAAACTTCAAAAAGCATAATTTTTCATTTATGACAGACTAATATTACCTTAATAAAAATTTTTTCCCTGAATGAAATTTAAATAAATTACTGTATTGGTCAAAATGTTTTTAAACTGGTCACTTAAAATTGCTATACATTCTATAGCCATGCTATTAATCAGATAATACTGCCTTAAAGTACCTTTAGCTACCATAGCTAGGATCACCAGGTTTATCTTCAATAATATCACCATCCAATCTAGAACAGCTGAAATTAAAGCAGCAGATTTGAGGATCACAGGAATCTTTGATGCTCTTAAGTCTCATGGTTTCTGCTCATAGGTGTCACTTTTTTTCCCCTGACATAAATTATTCAGGATATTCTGTAGAGTATTGCTTCTGCAGCAATGGTTAATGGCTGTTGAACCAAGCAAATTCAAATTTTGTTATATAATCATTAGTGGCATGCCAGGGTAATACACTTTTAGGCTTTTCTTTCTCTTTCCCTTCCATGTTTTGAAGAATCTCCAAGTTAATAAATCTCTGCACCAATGCACTATGAAACTAATAATAACAAATCTGCTAGCCACAGGTACTAAATCATCAAGATTTTCTGAATTACTTTCAGGACTTGCCAAATGTCAAGCAACTGGCATTACTAAGCTATATGATGCCAGGTATTCTGTTCTTATATTATTAGAAATAAAACTCACTAGAAAAAACATTGTACTGCAGAGACAGGAAGTCAACAGCAGCACACATCTTATAGGAGGGTAGAGCTAGCTATCTATCGGCTCATGTATTTAAAGTCACACATGGTTTAGTGTAATAAGATGATAACTAACATTTATAAAGCACTTGGTATATCTCAAGCACTGCACTAATAATATAAGCACATTACAAGCATTATCTCATACATTATATCTAAGATATACGTTAGTGTCATCCCTATTTTACAGGTTATTAAACTGAGGCACACAGAATTTAAGTAACATGCCCCAGGTCACACAGCTAGTGAAGAGTGGAGTTTGGATTCAAACCCCATTTGTCTGACATGAACATATGCTTTTAACAATTCTGCATCACTCTGAATCTATGTGAACTGGTATCTGAAAGGATTTAATGGTGTT